CATTCTGATCATCATTACAGCAAGAGGAAATTACTCTTGCAGGATTTCTCTTACAGAGACAAATTCAGACAGGGTCTTATGAAATGATGACTGTGGCTGTCTCATGAGGATGTGTTTGTGGGTGGGTGGATCATCACTCTTCAGACGGCATGTCTGTCTTCCCCGTCATGAGTCTGCCTGTCACTCGAGCCGTATCTCCCAGCATACCAGTAAGGTAGTTGTTGAGTTTAGGTATTGATAGAATTGGGGATTAGAATATGGTCATGCAGAATATGTGCTTTATAAATACTAATAAACAGCCAATATGTCTGTGGCTGTCTCATGAGGATGTGTTTGTGGGTGGGTGGATCATCACTCTTCAGACGGCATGTCTGTCTTCCCCGTCATGAGTCTGCCTGTCACTCGAGCCGTATCTCCCAGCATACCACACACCAGGTGCACTTGCCATCTCTCCAGCCGTTGCCGTGCCAACAGCTCTTGTTTCTTCTTGTTTTCTTTCTCTGGGGATGAAAAGTCAAAGGCGGCTATTCGTCTCCCCCCTCTGCCTGCCATATTACTACAAACTCATCATAGGTCTATTAGTGCTGGACTCCTTCAGTTCCACTGTGACTCGTAATAACTGGAGGGGTGACGTTACTGTTAGCATGCATTTGCTCACTGATTTTGTAGTTGTTGAGTTTAGGTATTGATAGAATTGGGGATTAGAATATGGTCATGCAGAATATGTGCTTTATAAATACTAATAAACAGCCAATATGTTAATAATAGGCATGCTAATAAGCAACTAGTTAATAGTGAGAATTGGTCGCTATACTAAAGTGTTACCAACATGACTTACCTTTTTGACTGACGTCATCTAGGCATTGCAGCCAACTGGTTGATGTTAACCAAAAGCCTGCTAGCTATTGAGGCATTTGTCAGGGGTTTTTAAAGTCAGCATGAAAAAGAAATTGCAATCATCTTTTTTTTCTTTTTTTTTTTTTTCTTTTTGCCAAATGAGTGAAAGTGCATTTCAAATGAGAGAAAAAAAATTGGGTTGTACTTGATTTTGAGAATTGAGTGTTGGATTGTTGTTCTTTGCCCATTTCCACAATCTCATGTGACAGATTTCTGGAGGCTAGGAAATATTGTCCTGGACTGGTGCACATGTCATCTGAGAACAGTAGAGATGTCATTACAAGAGGGAGGGAAAGTTCCTGTTTTTGATTAAAGATTATGAAGGCATATGAATTTTTAAAAAATGATGTGCATGGTTAAATGTATTATTAACTGGGATCTTGGAGGGTGCTATTTTAACAGTAAGAAACAAAACCCAAATCTGTATGTATTTCTAAATGTTCAACTCTTCTTTCTTGCAATGCATTTATATAGTTTGTATTTGTTTAGTACTTTTCTAGGTTTTTTTTTTCTTCTGGCCTCTTTCACCTTCAGCTCATGGTTGTATATGGCTCTGTTTTCTGTAGAACTGCTTTAGAATTATATTTATCATGGAAAGTGTTATTCAGTTTCTGTATATTTTTTAATATTAGATTTTATTAGTGCGTAGAAAAAAAATATGTTGTTAACCTTTTACATAGTACATGTTTTGCACATAATATTTCATTCATTTGTTTTGACATTGGTACAATATAAATGCGATTTCAGTTTTTACAGAAATGTGTGCATTTGTCCTCTGAAAAGAACATGAAAAAAGAAATGTTTCTAGCATTCGTTTGTGAATGATTTGCTCGGTTGAGTCGTATCTTTTAAATAAATAAAAAACGTAATCTCAATCAAAGGTCATTACTTTACATTCAGCTTAAAAATCTAACTAGAACCGTTATTGTATTGTGTTTATTCGAGGCTTGTGACACTTAATTCAGGGTCATATCTGATTGGTTCATAAGACAGTATGTAGTCAAAGTTACACACTCACTACAGAGTTGTGTTGGAATAAATGGAGTAAAATTAAAGAATCGTTAATGGAGTTGCAACCAGAATTGTTACTGTTGGAGCCATACTCATTATATCTTATTTCATTTTTACAGTTACGTTTTTCACAATTCTCCCTCCTTTTTGTTGGTAGTGATTTTGTTGAGTTTTGTTGAGTGTTTAGTGTTAAGTTAAATGTTATGTTAGTATTATTTATACTATTGTAGTATTTAATATTTTGTATGTGCATATATATATATACAGACACAGAGTACATATACAGGTGCATCTCAATAAATTAGAATGTCGTGGAAAATTGACATTGGTACAATATAAATAGGTCTGTATAAAATATGTAACTGCCTTTTATATTTTTGGTTGTGAAATTTATCATATCTGGGGGTCCTTGGCATGAAAGTTTTTTTTTTTTTTACTCCATTGCCTGATCAAAAAGCCTCCTCAAAAGTGAGTGCCAGTGGTGTTTTAGGAGAAAATTAGTAGTCAAAAATCTAAAGCAAGGTTGCTTTCTGGTCTAAATGTATTTTGTCATGAAAAAAAAACCTTAATTGAATCTCCTTGTGATGAAATCAAGCTTACTAGCAGTTTCTGCGTGCAATTTTTTACTGTACCTTTTCCACAGAAGAAAGTCAGTTCAGAATGACCCAAGGGAAAGTAAATATGATAAAATCTTACATTTATGAATTTTCAGTGAACTATCCGTTTACGATTGAAGAATCACAGAGCACTGGGCCAGCTAACCAATCAGAGCACATTTTGTGTTACGGAAGGAGGGGTTTCATCAAAACAGGAACTAAACAAGTCATTTGAGACAGACTGGGAAGAGAGGTGCTGCATGTGTGAAAAAAAAATGCAATTTTGGAACAATTAAGCATAAAAACCTATTCTAGTACACCAAAAAAATCCAAACTTAAAGGGCATATAGGATCCCTTTTCAAATGTATGTGAAATATGTACAATTTGTGGTATAGACTCTTTAAAGTACATCCGAGAGTTTACAATGTCTGTTATTGTGGCAGAATCACAGAGTTGGAAAAAGGATCACCCCCTCCTAAAAATGACTTGTAAACTCAATCAGGTTTAGCTAATCACCTTCTCAATGGCACACAAAGCCATTTGACTTTCAACTGTGATTCTAAAGGGTTCACAAACTTCCAAGCAGCACTGTATAATATACAGTATATATATATATATATATATTATACATACATATAATATATACATCATATATATATACATTTTTGTATTTTGATTTTAGTTTAAGTTTTAGTACTTTTGTTATCTGCTTTCGTACTTTTTTATCTGCTATATTTCTATTTTTATTTCAGTGATTTTTGTTTATTTTAGTAATTTTACTTCAGCTTTATTTCAGTTAGTTGCCAAGGCAAAATTTCTTATTTTTGTTTAGATTTAAGCAAAAAACGTTTTTAATCGTTTTAGAATTGCTATTTTGGTTCATAGTATAAAGTTAAGACCAAAAGACAGTATCTTAGTAGGCAGTATGATCATGCAAGCTACCTTTTAGAGCCTTTTTGCATCAAGAACGCACTTATAATGCCTTTAAAATGCTGCTTGCATAGGCAGCTCCCCAGGTTTTGGAACACAGCTTTGGTGTTTGTAGGAGCGATTCACTCTTGTTTTTGTTTAGTAGAAAGTTAGGACCAAATTACTTCCTCCAAAGCACTGAAGGATCATTAATGAAATCATTAGGGACTCTTAAGTTGCTTGAAAATCATTAAGAAATAAGTAAGTGGAATTGGAAATTGAAATGGAATCATTACATTCCTTTCGATTCCCATCCCTGGTTTTATCGATCTGTTAATGTCTCCATGTGTCTGTTCTGTTTATGGTTTCTGCTATATGTATTCTCTCAGTTGTTTTGTTGGTTACCTAATTGTTTCCTTCATTTTATTTATTCCCTTTTTGCCACTGATAGGAGAAAAGAAATAGGACAGATTCATTTGCATCACCTCAACTTACTGCCATGGCCTCTGACATCTCTGTTTTTCAGACTCCAATTCATCCGTTACTGTTTTCTCTTCAAAATTCATATGTTAGACCCTTTAGCTGTGATGATAATCATGTTTGTGCTTTGGCTTTCTTTTGATCCAAACATTCTTTAATACAAAAAAACACTGTTTTATCTCACAGGTTTTCCATCCTTTTATCTCTTTGCTGTTCTGAACTGAGTAAATACTGGGCGCGATGCTTGTCCCACAGAAACATTTCTGTTGTGTCCTTACTTCATTTCATGCAGAACATTGTCAGATTCACTCTGTGATGTTCTTTCTTTTGCATTTATTATTTATTCCAAATCTCCACAGAACTATAATGTCCTTGTATTACAACTATGGTACTATTTTTTAAGCTTCCCAGTGAGGACGGTTTGGGCTCTGTTCCAAACCCTAGTGAGCTGCCTTGCTGCCTACTACATTAAGCAGCACCAGTTTTCAATTTTGAGCATAATAAATGTTTCTTGAGCAGCAAATCATCATATTATACTGATTTCTGAAGGATCGTGTGACACTGAAGACTCGAGTAATGATGCTAAAAAATTCAGCTTTGCATCACAGAAATAAATTTAATTTTAAAATATATTGAAATAGAAATCACATTTCAAATTGTAAAAATATTTTACAATATTGCTTTTTATTTTACTGTATTTGGGTCAAATAAATGCAGCCTTGGTGAGCATTAGAGACTTTCAAAACCATTAAAAAACACACTAACCTCAAAGATTTGAATGGTAGTGTATGTTGCTTGCAAAACATTTAATTTTGTCATACAAAACACTGCTAATTTTAAACGACTGTCAAATAAATCTTTTTGTGTCAGATTGTGTAGTTACAGCATCAACCAGCAGGGTCTAACAAAGCAACGCTAACCATAACCCAAACAAATCAAACAAATAATAGCAATACAGAGCTACACTTTAGGCAAGTCAGGCAATAGATGACTTAAGTTCTCTGTGCTTATGAAGTTAGTAAGACAGGAGAACAGGACAAGACAGGAGAGTGTTTAATGCCACATGCTCTAAAAAGTGACACTTTTCTCTTGTGGTTCTTCCCCAGATCTAATAAACCCGGCAGCAGCCCTAAAGGTCAGACCCCAGACGAGAGCAGCCGCCGAACAGACGCTAACTCCTCCGTCTCAGACCTGGCCAACTCCGTCACCAGTGATATGCTGATGGTAACGTGAACGTGTGGCTGTGTACTGTTTTCTGTGGAAGCTCATTTCCACCACGGAATACAAATATAAAAAACGAGGTTTTGCGAGTTTATATCTCTTACATCTCGCAATTTTGACTTTTTTTTCTCATAATTCGGAGTTTATATCTCAGGTTATTAACTCAATTGTGAGTTTATATCTCGAAATTCTGATTTTTCTTTGAATTCTGAGATTACATCTCACATTTCTGGGGGGTTTTTCTGCAACTGAATAAAAAAATAAACTTTTTATCTCACAATTCTGACTTTTCATTTGAAAATTGCAGATTTATATCTAGCATTTCAGACTTTTTTTCATCACAATTTCCAGTTTATATCTCACAATTGCAAATTATAAGCTTGTAATTGTGAGTTTGCATATTTTTTCTACAAATTCTGAGCTTTTGCAGTTTTTTCTGAATTCTGAGATTACGTCACGATTCTTCTTTTTTTCTTCCCAGAATCTCTTTGCTGTTCTGAACTGAGTAAATACTGGGCGCGATGCTTGTCCCACAGAAACATTTCTGTTGTGTCCTTACTTCATTTCATATCTCTTTGCTGTTCTGAACTGAGTAAATACTGGGCGTGATGCTTGTCCCACAGAAACATTTCTGTTGTGTCCTTACTTCATTTCATGCAGAACATTGTCAGATTCACTCTGTGATGTTCTTTCTTTTGCATTTATTATTTATTCCAAATCTCCACAGAACTATAATGTCCTTGTATTACAACTATGGTACTATTTTTTAAGCTTCCCAGTGAGGACGGTTTGGGCTCTGTTCCAAACCCTAGTGAGCTGCCTTGCTGCCTACTACCTCCATAAACAGCATCCTAACTGAAATAGAACATCTAATGCCATTCTTCAGTTTTAAACTTTTCAGAAATACAATTTTTGTATTTATTGAATTACAATTCTATTCAGTATGTTTGTCGTTTCCCCACAATCTCTTTTTTACAGTATCTAACATTGTTTGCACAAGCCAGTTCCTTGTTAAACAGCTTATTATTCCTTGAGGAAGAAATAGATGTGTTACATGTGTTTAAGAACACATCCAAAAGAGTCTAATGTACTATAATACAATATTAATGATTCATACACTACTGTCAGTAAGTCAATAAGATTTTTTTAAGAAATACTTACTTTAATACTGATTCATGTTTTTGTTTAGTAGAAAGTTAGGACCAAATTACTTCCTCCAAAGCACTGAAGGATCATTAATGAAATCATTAGGGACTCTTAAGTTGCTTGAAAATCATTAAGAAATAAGTAAGTGGAATTGGAAATTGAAATGGAATCATTACATTCCTTTCGATTCCCATCCCTGGTTTTATCGATCTGTTAATGTCTCCATGTGTCTGTTCTGTTTATGGTTTCTGCTATATGTATTCTCTCAGTTGTTTTGTTGGTTACCTAATTGTTTCCTTCATTTTATTTATTCCCTTTTTGCCACTGATAGGAGAAAAGAAATAGGACAGATTCATTTGCATCACCTCAACTTACTGCCATGGCCTCTGACATCTCTGTTTTTCAGACTCCAATTCATCCGTTACTGTTTTCTCTTCAAAATTCATATGTTAGACCCTTTAGCTGTGATGATAATCATGTTTGTGCTTTGGCTTTCTTTTGATCCAAACATTCTTTAATACAAAAAAACACTGTTTTATCTCACAGGTTTTCCATCCTTTTTATCTCTTTGCTGTTCTGAACTGAGTAAATACTGGGCGTGATGCTTGTCCCACAGAAACATTTCTGTTGTGTCCTTACTTCATTTCATGCAGAACATTGTCAGATTCACTCTGTGATGTTCTTTCTTTTGCATTTATTATTTATTCCAAATCTCCACAGAACTATAATGTCCTTGTATTACAACTATGGTACTATTTTTTAAGCTTCCCAGTGAGGACGGTTTGGGCTCTGTTCCAAACCCTAGTGAGCTGCCTTGCTGCCTACTACCTCCATAAACAGCATCCTAACTGAAATAGAACATCTAATGCCATTCTTCAGTTTTAAACTTTTCAGAAATACAATTTTTGTATTTATTGAATTACAATTCTATTCAGTATGTTTGTCGTTTCCCCACAATCTCTTTTTTACAGTATCTAACATTGTTTGCACAAGCCAGTTCCTTGTTAAACAGCTTATTATTCCTTGAGGAAGAAATAGATGTGTTACATGTGTTTAAGAACACATCCAAAAGAGTCTAATGTACTATAATACAATATTAATGATTCATACACTTCTGTCAGTAAGTCAATAAGATTTTTTAAAGAAATACTTACTTTAATACTGATTCAGGATTTAAATACTTTAAATCAGCAAAAATGTGTTAAATTGATCAAAAGTGCCAGTAAAGACTTTTACATTTAAAAAATAAAATAAAATTTTTTTTTATAAATGTTGTTCTTTTGAACTTTTTATTTATCAAAGAATCCCAAATAAATTAATTAAATATTTATAAATATTTATATTTATAAATTATCACTGTTTCTGCAAAAAATATTAAGCAGCACCAGTTTTCAATTTTGAGCATAATAAATGTTTCTTGAGCAGCAAATCATCATATTATACTGATTTCTGAAGGATCGTGTGACACTGAAGACTCGAGTAATGATGCTAAAAAATTCAGCTTTGCATCACAGAAATAAATTTAATTTTAAAATATATTGAAATAGAAATCACATTTCAAATTGTAAAAATATTTTACAATATTGCTTTTTATTTTACTGTATTTGGGTCAAATAAATGCAGCCTTGGTGAGCATTAGAGACTTTCAAAACCATTAAAAAACACACTAACCTCAAAGATTTGAATGGTAGTGTATGTTGCTTGCAAAACATTTCATTTTGTCATGCAAAACCCTGCTAATTTTAAACG